CGCCCTCTCCCACTCTCTCCCTCTCTCTCTGCCTCACTCGTTGCTTGCAACACTTGGCGCTTGCCACATAACGACAACAGCAGCATAAGTTGCAAGTTGCAACTGCAACATATGCAACAGCAGCAACATATGCAACAGCAGCAGCAACTGCATCGTAGCATGACACATTAAATGCAAAACGGCAGCAAGGTGCGAAAAGGGCGGGGGAGGGGCAGTTAGGGGTTAAGGGGAATGAAGGAGAAGAAAAAGAAGGAGGGGTTTGAGCCCGGTCTTGAGCAGCGGTTTCTGCCGGCTGCTTCTTCTTGGCCATATTGCACATGCTGTTGGTCTTTATTTAATAAAGAAATGGCTTGCGCATTTCTTAAGTTGCCCTACAACCATATGATAAAGGGATCTTTAGGGTATATGGGTACTAGGGAGTATATGAGTAGAAAGAAATATTACATTGAGTAATAAAAGAAAAATACATGGAAATATTAAGTTACTAAAATTATATAACCCACTCCAAGGGCATAAAAAGAAGAAAAACTACAAGTACTGTTAGTTTAAATTCATATAAAAGTAATTTTTTAAAGTAAAATTTAAATCCTTCTGTAATAATAGAATCTGTTGATCTTATTAAAACATTTTAGTGTCTGTGTTATTTTTATGGTTTTCAATGTACATCCTTAGTTACCTACTTTATAAATTGATTTTACTCGAGTAGAATGATACATTTAATTTCAATAAAACCTCTCTAGAACACAGGACTTTTAAATAATCGGTTAAAAGTTAAGGTATCCCCGCAGTCGCCTATATCCTTGGATCTCTCCTTACCCTTATCCATTTTACGCATAATAAACCGTATACCCACCGCCATTCTAACTGGTTACAACCTGAGCAGCTGTTGCCACTCTGCATTCCTCTTAACCCTTGTTGTCGTTGGTGCCGCTCTTATGACAAAACAATTCTGAAAACCAGATGTGACGCGATGGAGGGCACAGGTAAAATATGTGAGGATGGGAACGATATAAGAATCCAAGGCGAACTGGAAGTTTATTTTTGGCACACACATAAGTCGAGCAGAGTCGTCAATCAGCTGACGGGGGATTATGCAAACAGATTGCAGTGGAGAGATCATTAAATGGCATTAGATAATAATAACACCACCTTGGGCCATCCGTCAATCGTCGATCCGTCATTTCAGCATCGAACACACTTTAAATAATTGCACATTATGCCCGAGAGACTTTAATAAAATAATTAAATCGAAATATGCGGAGCTCGCTAGTTGGGAAATACAATTTTTTTCTTTTCACCACTTCAGAAAATTGCGATGGGGATAAAAAGAAGGAGAGAAACAAGAAGAAGCGACCGCAGAACGGGGCTGCCCAAGTGGAAAAAATTCTGCGGGCTACCAATCTACGCATTTTTTAACCCCTCCTTGCCCCCGCCGATTTCGAACGTCAAAAGAAGACCGACAGCGGTGCGAAACAAAAAGGCAAACGCGATAAACTGTTTTCATTTTAAAGAAATTTGCTGAAAAGCATAAAAATTCAACAGAAAATATTAATTTCAATTATTTAGCTACGCGCCAAATCACCAGGCTCAGATTTTTCCCACCGCAAAAAAGGGCAGAGAAAAATGTGGAAGAGCTCAAGAAGAGGGAGCCAAAGAAGGCAGCACTTTGTTCGCTAAATGCGAGCAATTTGTTACAGGATTTTCATCGGTTCTGTGGGAAAATCTTTGGCCCGGGAAAAAGGCAATTTATAATTATCAACTGTAGGTGGCGCTCTGGGAGCCCCTCGCATAGCGGAAGTTATTATAGGAAAAACAGCAGTTATGCCATCGCGAGCTTTTCCAAAGAACTTGACATTGGCGGCTTCTTCTTCAGCTTCAGCTTTGTCTTTCATTTCAGCATTTTCCAGTCTTCTATTTTCTTCGGTTTCACTTCTAATTAAAGACGACACTTTGGCATGTTTTGTGGCACGGAAATGCCTGAGACAACTTTGATGAAAGACCAGGTGAATTAAATGGGGTAAGAGCCGAAGAACCAAAGAAGCCGAAGAAGTTTAATTCAAATTGTCAAGTACCGAGAACTAAATGATGTTTTAGCACGCCAATGCAATGAAATATTTGCCGAGGAGCTGAGAATTTGATCGGACTTTTGAGATACTTGCTTTCCAAGAGCAAAAATCGATCAATAGATGGGAAAAGTGTCGACTAAAGGAAGTCATTAAACGAATTCAATTAAACACACTTGGTGATTTTAAAACAGGTTCTCTTACAAAGTGCATTATTCAACGAATAAGGTATATTCCTTTTTTTTAGCCATCAAAACCAATCAAAAACCGGATCAGAAAGCTAATCCCTATATAAGCAATTCATTAAATCAATCCAAATCTGCACACAAATCGCATTTCGGCTCCACCAACCTCGTAATTGATTGAACTCCCCGAAAAGAACTCATTGTGAAATTACCTTTCCACACAATCTCCTTTTTCCTTTTTTTTAAGGCCCAATCTAAAATTGGCAACACTCATTATAAGAATACCGTATCAACAACCTTTCACACAGACTCGCTCGCTCTCAGTCCCCCGTGGATTTTGGAGACCCCCTGAAAATTACAATTAAACCGAACTCCCAGACCCGAACAGATCACTTCTCAGCGGGTGCTAATGTGAAATAAAATTAAAGCTCTGGGAAGGAGAGGAAATAAATAACGGTAGATTATGAAATCTTATTTAGAATTGTTTTACTTAATTGCCAAATAACAAATTATGAAAATTATGCCAAAGATCGAACTTTAACCCCGGCTTAAAGTTGATTCGATTAACACTCGATAAGCAACGAGTTTTTAAATATTCAAATGTCCATAAATACCAACCACTCCGCTCATGTTACACTTGCTAGGCGAAGATTAATCGCTTGACATCACACTCCGCTACAAAAATGCGAGACTCGAAAAAATTGTCTTGCCTAATTTGATTAATTAAGCCGCTGGGGAACAAACAATAAACTCCATTTCTCGGGATACTGGTTCGATGAATAATTACAATTACTATTCGGGTGCCTCAATGGTTTATCATCTTTATTGTTGGTAGCTGAATTGAATGGGAAATATATGTAATTGGGTGATATAATACAGGTGCGTTGGATGGCCTGAAGTTCCGTCATCGAATGACGTAGTTTAGTTGTCTGACTCAGTCGGAGGGATATGGCGTCGATATGGCTCATTGGGCAAACAGTTCGATGAGTTAATATTTATTTTTCGGTAACCAACAGTCGTGTGAGAACCGAGAAACAGGAAAAGTGATTGTCCATTAACAAAAATTACCCAAAAGTCTAAGAAGTCCGCGAAAATTGGTATGAGAATTTCAAACTTAAAGAACTTTACACCACTTAAAAAACGATCCCGTCCATTATATGGAAAATAATCATGACGAATTTCTCCACCTTCGCAGACCATCTGAATCTTCCTCCGATGGCCAAGGTCAAAGTTCTTTCTTAGGCCCTTGACTTTACATTTTGCAATTTTTCACGCACTTCTTCGGTTTGTTTTTTATTTTTCAACCATAACCATTTTTTGGTTTCGGCACATGCAAACATGATTTTTTGTTGCCTTTCTTTCATTAAACAATTCTTCTGTATTTTTTATTTTTCGCTACTCTTCGCTTTTTTTGTATTTTTTTTGCGAACTTTACATTTGCAAAAGTTCATTAACATTTTGTGTGTGTGGCCAAAAGGCAGAAAGAGTGAGAGATAAAGTGAAAAAATCCACGCAGCGTTTTCCATTTTAATGAAATTTAGCCTCGTTTTGTTTTTAGATTTTTTGTTCAATTAATTATGCAAATTGTTACAAGTCCAAAGAAGCATTCCTCCGCCTGCCCGTATTTCCACTTATGACGAATTCAATTTAGCTTAAGATTTAGAGAAGGAAAAATAAATTCAAAAACTAAATGCTAACATTAGAAACTTTTTCTAGCCAGGCCATAAATTATCTAAATAGAAATTAGCCATCGAAACTCCCCCGAGTGACCCAAAAAAAAAGCGAAAAAATGAGGCAGCAGAATTTGGTTAATTTTTTGCATAAGGTTTTTGTCAACTCTTCGCTTGAGGGAATCGCTAACCATTCTTTTGGCTACTTTCGCTTTTTGGGAAACCCTTTTGTTTTCGTTTTCTAAGTTTTGTTTTCTTCGCGTATAATTTGTTTGGCTAAATCTTTGTCTCCGCCTCTCGGACCTTCTCTTTCGTTTTGTGCGATTTTTAGAAACGCTTCTGTCAACCGCAGCGTTTAACCAATTTTTCTTGTTATTGTTGCGGTTTTTAATTGCTGGGATCGCATCCGTAAGATTCGCTTTTGTTTCTCGTCTCCGGTTAGCGCATAATGACAACTATTTGGGGGCTTGCTGGGAGCGAAAGTTTCGCTCGCTGGGATGGATGGATGGATAATTATTTAAGTTTTGTAACAAAGCTCTCCCCCGACAACTAATAGACCATTATTTAAATGATATTTGTGTCTGGTGGAAATGGTCTTTTAAATAGATTTTTAATACCAGTATTTTTCTTTTTTTTCGATTATCCAACAGCTTACTACTCCAATTCCTATTACATATAACCGGCAGAGATTTAGAATATCGGAAATATGTTGCTAACTTTTAATTCTTTCTGAACTATACTACAAAAATATTCTGTACTTACCTTTGTGTTAATATTTTTCCCAACTCGCCTTAATCCACTTATTAGGAAATCCATCTAAAATTATTGATTATTAAAAGTATTTGTTTTAATTTAAAAATGTAAAAATCCCTTCTTTAATTATTTCCATTTAAATTGTATTGAAATATCAAAGTTATACATTTTCGGAGTCTAATCATTGTAGGAAACAAGATTAGCATTTTATGAGTAATATTTGTGACCTTACATTAATCCAAATTCCCTACAACCCATGTTACTCCCTGTGTTTTATGTTTGTCTAACCAAAACCTTTCCCCATCTCTCTCTCCCAACCCATTTTGCAGATCTTGGTAGCCTCAGCAACCATCACAGCAGCATCGGCAGCATCAACGCTAGTAGCAACATCCCGGCAGCAACTTTAATCGCCACCAGCAGCAGCAACAGCAACAGCGGCAAGAAGACAACCACTGAGGCGGCAACCACGAGCAAACCTGCTGCACCACTGAACCCCGGCAAAATGGAGCTGCTGAGCAGCAACACAGCCACAGCAACAGGAACCGGAACGACAACGACGACAGCCACGCACCACCTGCACCAGGCCACCACCACGAAACAGCTGCTGGTGCAGGATTACCTGAGCTACGCCTCACCGCCCACATATTCCCGCCTGCCGCCCGACGGTCATGAGTTTCCGCCCAACTTCAGCGAGCCACTGATCATGCACAGCCACCCCCTGAAGGTCACCAGCACTTCCAGCACCACCGAGTTGAGTTACGAACTGCAGAATGGCAAGGAGGAGACCTCCGCACCACCGCTGCCTAAAACAGGACCACCGGCCACAGTTCCCCGCAAGGTGTACCGCCAGGATCTGGTCATAAACGTGGAGCCGGCACCCAGCCTGAGCCGCGACTATCAGAGATCCCTGAGTGGCGGTGCGCCGCGGAAGCCCAGTGATTGGCGAAAGGATGAAAAGTCCGAGAAGTCGGTGCGCGACAAGATTGCCATGTTCTCGTCCAACAACGAACTGGATGCCATACCGCCGGCTCCGGCCACAGCCCCGATTTCCAGCTCCTTCTCCCGGAAACCCCTCAACAGGAGCAGTGAAAACCTGCTCGACAGCTGCTCCGCATCCGCGGCTCCATCACTAAAGACCCGCGCCATGAGTGTGGAGAATCTGAACGATGTGCAGCGGCAATATCAGTTGGCCAAGCAGCTGCCCCAATTGCATGTGGCCGATTCGATGTATTCCTTAAATACGGCCACGCCCACCCAGAGCTACGCCTCCCTTCCACGGCGCAGCCACGGAGGATCGTATTCCGCCGGAGTAGAGCGAAGGATCAGCTTTTCGGGTGAGGGCGGTGAGGCGGCCAATCGCAAGGCAGCTATCACCAATATCCTAGAGCAGCGGAGGAGGAGTTTGTCCAAACTCCGTGGCCTGGTCATCCCCGAGAGACCGCAGCTGCTGGAACCCATCCTGGATTTGCCGGAGATCAAGAGCCAGGTGAAGGCGGCCAGCGGGGAGGACAGCACGGATAGCGGTTTGGGCGAGAGCCATCGCAGTACGGCCAATAGGAGCAATCAATTGAGTGCCGGGAGCAACTATCGCAGCATCTTTACCACCTCCAACCAGCAGAGGAGACCCCTGGAGCAGCAGCTCTCCCAGCCGCCGGCCAAGCCGCCCAGGACCTCGCTGACGCCCCTCCAGCCGCGGAGCATGATGACGATGATGATGCCACCACCGCCGCCGCCGCTTGACCAGGAAAGCGATACGGATTCGGTGTTCTCGCACACTGCCCGTGTGACCACGCCGCCCGAGAAGTTCGCCCTGACCAGGACCCTCAGTTCCGAGACCAACACTTCGATAGCCAGCTCCAACACCTCCACCCTGACATCCGGATCCTCGGCCGGCTCCCAGGCCAGCTGCAGTTCCCTGGGCAGCACACCAGCTGTGGACTTAACCCGAAGGGTGCTCAAGAGTCAGGTGATCAATGGCGAGCCCGTGGTCCTGTCCAGCCGCAAGAGCATCCTGGCCTCGGCCAAGTGCCGCAGTGCCAAGAGTCGCGGTCAGGAGGAGGACAACGACAGCACAGATGGCGAGGCCTGCTCCCTGGCCAACCGCCGAATGAAGCCCATTTCCAGCTACAAACTCCAGCAACAGCAGCAGCAGCAGCAGATCCAGCTGGGCAAGCAACTGGTCGTGGACAAGCTGATCAATGTGGCCGCCTATGTGGAGCTGACCTCGGATACGGACGACAGCAGCCGGAGATCTGATACGCCGGCCAAGATTAGTGCCATGTTCATAGACGAGGAGCGCAAGGCCAGCTTCAAGGGAGATCCCAGCCAGCAGGCCAAGGTCAAGGTGGTGGTGGAGCAGCAGCGGGTCAAGCCCATGGTGGTCATGCCCCAGGTGCTGCCCTCGCCGAAGCGGGAGCCTCTGAAGCAGCAGACCACCGCCGAGCTGCGCGAAAAGTTCGAGAGGAGTGCTGCTGCCGCGCAGGCCCAGAACCAAACCCTAAACCACTCGCCAGTGATCCACAAGATCGCCCAGAAGCCGCACCACGAGCGATTCTCCTCGCTGGACTCCCTGGCCTCCAGTTCCTCGGGCGTGAGCTCCACCACCCAGAATGTGAGCACCACCCAGGAGACGGCCACCGAGTTCGGCAGCTTTTCGTCGCTGGGCAGCAACCAGAGTCTGATCACCGCCCAGGATGTCCAGCAGATCGTCGAGGAGGCCGATCCTCCGCTCAAGACCCCCGAGGCCTTCATCATCGTCCTGCAGCGGGATAATCCCGAGAGCAGCATCGGAATCACCCTGGCCGGCGGTTCCGATTACGAGGCTAAGGAAATTACGGTGGGTTATTAAATGGTCTTTATTGTTTTGTATCTGTTCTTAAGGTTTCCTTTAAATCCCAACAGATCCACAAGATCCTCAGCAACACACCAGCTGCCAAGGACGGACGTCTGAAGAAGGGCGATCGCATTCTCGCCGTCAACGGAATGAGCATGCGCGGATTGACGCATCGCGAGTCCATCAGTGTGCTAAAGGTAATGTTTATTGAAATATCATAAGTGATTAGGAAATCGATATCAAATCGAACAGAGAATATGATAAAATTAAAGTGCTAAACTGTGATTCACCGAAATAAATTATTAAATGTTGTACATTTTTTCTTCCATTAATGTTGTTATAATGTAAAATCTCTCAAATGTTCATTTAATACAAATGTTAGTTATCAATATAAAATTTTGTTATTAATATAATTTCTTAACGCTGATTGATACTTAATTAATGAAATTTATTTAGGATGTTGTTTTATCCAATTCGATTTTTTGTCTTTTCTATACATCTTAAGTATTTTTCCAATAACAATACTAATAATTCCTTTTTTTCACAGACCCCCCGACCTGAGGTGGTGCTAGTGGTGACCCGTTCCGAGTCTCTGGTGGTAAAGGCGCTGACCAAGAAGCGCTCCTCTCTGGGATCCCTCAGCTCGCTTAATGAGAAGCCCACGGAGCTGGACTACGAACGCAAGAGGAACTACCACAAGGCCTCCCGATCTCTGGACTTGGACCTCGATCTGGTGTCCAACGAGGCTGGTGGTTCGCCTGTGGCCACAACGCCGAGCACCGGATCCGTTAGTCCGCCGCAGCCGGCGAGTCTGCACGACGAGGATGCGGAGGCCACCATCGCGGGAATCCGGGCCAGAAGGCAATTGTCCCGAGGAGATGCAGCCAAGCTCAGCACGAGTGAGCTTTTGGAACGGGCGGCGGAGGCCAGGAATGCCATTGCGGCGGAGATTCGAGCACAGGGTAAGGGAAACGAAAAGATAAATAAAATAAAAGGTGTTAATTTAATAAATAAATTTATAAATTCACAAATCGAATCCAGTCCTAAATCAACTTCGTAAATTGTACTCGAGAATTTAATTATAAATTCCATTAAACGTATGACAAGTCTACAAACCTGAAATACATATGTATGCCAACTTCCTTATTTGTAAATAAGGAGAAAAAATGCTGAGGCGAAATTTAAATTAATTTATTTGGCAATAAAATTCGTAATGTTAATTAAATTTAAATTCAATTTTAAATGATTAAAAACCAATCATACTTGCCTACCTTTCTGTTTGAAACCCACGAAACTAATCAACGAAAATAAAATAAAATACTATATTACATATCATAAATTATTCTAATAAATCTCATCTCATTATAGCGGAGGATGCGGCGGCCAGTGGAGGAGGAGCTCGTTGTGTCGAGATTGTCAAGGACAGCTGTGGTCTGGGTTTCTCCATCGAAGGAGGCTTTGATTCACCGCTGGGAAACCGTCCCCTCATTGTCAAAAAGGTGTTCATGGGTAAGGGTCATTTGTCATACTCCAGCGAAAGCGAATATTAATTAGGATTTCGTTTCCCAACCAGGTGGTGCCGCCCAGAAGACCAACCAGGTGCGCAATGGCGACGAAATCCTGAGCATCAACGGTGCCTCCACGGCGCGAATGACACGAGTGGACGCCTGGAACTATATGAAGCAACTGCCGCTGGGACCGGTCAAGATTAGCTTCGCCTAAAGAGGATGGCCCAAGTGAAACGCCAACGATGGGGAAGAATGCGCCACAATTTTTGTTAGATTTAAGCCAATTAGCTTGGTTACCCCTTAACCGGTCTAACCTTGGGGGTCTTGCCAATTCGATGGATCGATGCTGCGAGCGATTTGTTTTGCATTTAAACGAACCTTTAACTGTATGCCTAATTTTATAGATATTTAATTTAAAGTGCAATTGTTTAAACTCTTACTACGTTTTGATGCCCTATTTACATACCCTAAACTGATCGATGATTGTACATATAACTAATCGAGACTAATTTACGTATTTAAACCTTAAAACAAATTAAAGCCGGCCCTCTGGGCAGCGCTATTTCCTTATACACAACTTATTAATCCACAAACATAACGACAAAAAACACAATTATATTTTATGCCATAAATTATACGGGAACGTTATACATGTATATTATTTTAATAATTATTATTTTATTTAAAGAACAACAAAAACAATGTTTACGTATACAAAAGTATTTGCTAAAAATAAAATTACAATATATATGAAATTATAAAAAATCAGTTTTTTAAAACCATATTTCTTACCACTCCAAAAATGTAACGACTTATGAGTTTTATAAAATCAAGTTTATTTATATTTATTTCAACTTCATAATGGACTCTCAACTGCTCCATGCAGTTCACTAATACATTCTCTGAACATGTTTAAAAACAACTTAAAATATTATTTGTCCTATGTACTGTACATAAATTCGAAATCAGTCGATTGCAGCCTCGGAAGTTATACATCTTTGGCTGGCTTCGTTATCAGCTTTGGCAATTGCAACGTAAGCCCCAAATGCTGCAGAGAAGCCGAGGACGATGGTGATGGCGAGGCTACGGATAGCGACCCGTTGACCTTCTCCGTCAGATGCGGATGCGTTGGGTGGCTGGATGAGGCGGACTCCTCGGAATGAAATATCTCGCCAAGCAGCTCGTAAACACGACGCTTAAAGTACAGCTTCTGGTGAAAATCCATGTGCTTGATTTCGGGGCGCAGTCCCTGCAGAAATGCGTCATCGAAATCCATGACAGGCGTTGCTTCAACATGGGATGTCTGAAGAAATAAAAACATTGCATAAACTAAATTATTGTAAGGAGAATTATTATTTAAAATATAAAATCTATTATTTTAAATATAAAATATTCAAATTAACAAGAATCCAATTTTTTGAAGGAGAAGCATTGATTTGCAATATAAATAATCAAATAATTGAGAATAGTGTAATTTATTTAAAGACGGGTTGGATTTACATATATTAGTTGATTTTGAAGCAAACACGTCACACGTTAAGTATTTTAGATTATTCGTTTTTTATTAATGTTTGCAAGCATGTTTTTTTTATTATTTTGCAACAAAATAACGATGAAACCTTATGTTTTCCATGACAACGTGTTTACTCTCAAAAAACCCTGTTCGAAACACAGGACATGAAAGATGCAGCCTTTTATTTCTCCCACCTTTGAATCCTTGCTCTCCTTGGACAATCGCAGCCGCTTCCTGACCCGTGCCTGCCAGGAACCCTTCTCGTCATCGGACTCCTCCTCAGACTCCGAGTCGTTGCTGTAGCGGCTCTGCGCATGCTCCGTTTCCGGACTGCTCGGCGACTGCTTCATCTCGAGGATAGCCTCCACAGGCGTCTCGTGTGTCCCGTCATCCTCCATTTCCTCCTGACCCCTGGGCTTTGAGCGACGACCCCTTAGCGGAACGGGAACTCCGGGAGTGATGTGCTTCTGCAGGAACTGCAGCTCGCTGTTAAGGTAATAAGTATTCGCACCGTGGTGCACCTTTATGGAACGGGCGTAGCTCGTGCGAATGTTCCGCCAGCGTTCCTTGCAGCTTTTGACTGAAAAGAGAAGATGGATAAATATTAAAGACATGTTAATATACTAGGCATTAAATAAGAAATTGTGTAAAATAAGGAATTATTGTAGTTTTTGTTGAAATTGTGTAATTTAAGGATTTCTTGATGTTTTAGTTCTGAGTTATTAAGTAATATTGAGGTTTTACCTCGAAACAAAAAACATTACCAAGAAAAACATGTAAGAAACATTGATACAAGGCTCATGCAAACATTGTTGATATAAGAAATTTAAAATCTAATTTTTTTTTGGTGTACATTGTTGATATAAGAAATTTAAAATCTAATTTTTTTTTGGTGTACATTGTTGATATAAGAAATTTAAAATCTAATTTTTTTTTGGTGTACTGACAGATTTGATAAATATTTACAAAATATCTGATATATCTAATTAAAAAGAATTATAATAATTTTATAAAGAAGTTCTTTTTTTTAATTTTCCCAATAGTTTTTACGATTTTCCTATGCAATGTGATTCTGAACCCACCCGAATTTCGCATCTCTTTGGATATATCCTTCCAGGCATTTTTCACAGTCGATTTCCGCATGTAGTTTTCATCGGAACGATCATAAAGACAAGGATGTTTTTCCACCAAATGACAGATTTTGGTATTGGTGGCGTAAATATTCGGCGAGGGAGCAATAGGTCGACGTCGCATATTCATTTCATCGATAAAATCTAAAAACAATAAAAGGATAAAAAATTAATAAAAGCAAAAGCAACAGAACGAAATCGAATGCGAAACACGTGTCGCCTGCGCGTGCAACAGCTGTTTGGCGCTACTTTTGCGTCTTTGGGCTGCCTGCAACAACAGTTATTTTCGCTGCCACCGGAGCACTTTTCGTCTTCAACTCACCGGTATTCTTATAATAAATGATTTATTTAATGAACGACACTGCTCTAATTACGTTTATTTTGTTATTTAACTGGGGTTTGAGTCGCTTGTTGCTGCCGTGCACAAAGAAGTTGCTGCTGTCGCACGTTTTTTGCAACTGGCAACACGCTGCGATTTCTTGTTACTGCCAACAAGTGTTGCAGCTGAAAATGAATGTTGCGATTGCAACTGACAATTGTTATTGAGTGCAGAGCACAAGGGCACTAGATTGGTTCGATTGTCGGCCCGGCTGGGCATTTGAATCGCTAACGGGCGGCGAATATAAACAAAACACTCGTTGCCGGCGAAACAAAAAAAAGGGTCACAACAAACGCAAAGGCAGGGGCGTTGTGCGCTCTCTTCAAATTCCAGCAGGGGTCACTTTTCGCCAGGCAGGCAACCCTCTCGGGGAGCGTAAATTTATGGCATGCCACTGGCACTCACACACACACACAAGAATCGCGGACCATCTGCGTCAAAAGAGAGCGGCGGCACTGCCAGACGCAAAACGAAATAAAACGAGTTCGTGCTGGCAAGGCCCTTCGATCGGCGTGGGGCTGCCAACAGTTTTAACAACTAATTCTTAATTAAAGGCGTTCCAGCCCTGAAAATAAATATTTAATTAAATTGAAAATTGAAAAAAAAAAATTCTATGATAATGATTTTTAATATTACTGAAATACACGAATTTTTTAAACATTCGATTCATTTACCAAAGCTAATTTAATATGATGATTTATAAAAACCCAGTAATCCATAAACAAATTAACATTTTAAACCTTCAAGCCGTTGACAAACTGATTTGTCAAAAACAATACATTTGTGTGGGCTGCTACACCAAGTATTAACTGTTTTCGGCACTTGTCATTTACCTGAGTTACAGTTAAAAACGTTAAAAATAAATTTAGCCACCCCTGGACGGTTATATTAGTAAACCTTTCGCCAACCCTCGTTTCCGACTCGACGGTCTGCCAACTCGCTTTGCCTTGCAAGGCACGCTCTCTCGGCTCTCCGCTCTCTCGTGTGTGTGTGAGTTCTGCACTCGCTTTTAGTTTTCGCTGCCGCTTAGTCTGCTTTTTTCGTCTCAGCTGCTGCGCGCGTGTTGTTGTGTGAATTGCGTTTGCTTCTGTAGCTGCCCCACAAAAACGATAAATTCGCGGCGAGCTCTCGCGGTTGAGTACGAACAAAGTGCCCTAGTGATGAGCGCTGCCAGTGAGGAGAACGTGCTGCTGCTGCGGGCGGTGGAGAAGCAGCCGCCGCTTTACGATCGCAACGATGACAACTACAGGAAGCGCCTGCCGAGCGAGAATTCCTGGGACATGGTGGCCTCGGAAGTCGGGGAGTCGGGTGAGTTGTGGGTGCGAGCGAGATGGCGCCACGGCGTTGCGTAGTTTTCGACCAGTGTTGCACAGCGTCAACGCGCGCACGGCAATCGGCCGTGTCCGTCTTATCGACCACCGATAGTTGTGCCCGAGTTGGCAGCCCGGTGCTGACTGTGAGTTTGTGTTGGTGATGGCAATCACACGCAGTTGCCATCGATTAATTCGAAAATAACGAATCTCCTGTTGAATGTGATGGCATTTGGGGGTGACTAAAAGCAGCTACATTTCTGCGCCGAATTATAATGCCGCAATTAAAATTGTGGTCCTGTTGGCTATATTTATGTCTGCTTAATCAAGTGACAATGGTTTTTGTTTGCCTCCTTAAGTTAGAGAATTGTTAAAAATTAATTCTGTTATATGTTTGAGTAATTATAATTGAATTAATTGTAAGATTGCTGGGACTAAAAATATGATAAGGAACCAAAACAAATGTGTGCTGAATTCCATTGGGCTGCTCTACCCTTTACAGTTTGTTTTCTGGACGTATTCTTCTTCTTTCTTAATATGTATTTCAAAGATTGAATTTAAGAGTTATAATTTAATGAAAAAATTTGAAAAAAAGAAGGCTTATAACCAAAAAACGAATCAGCGTTTTTAAAATATTAAGGATACCCCTCAAGTAAGGTGACCAGATTTCTAAGATCGTGAGTCGCATGGTAGTTCCATTTGTCAATGCAACTCTGTCCCTTTTATCGCCGTGTTTTCGATTGACTTTGCTATTCACCCCTGGAATATTCTTTTCGTCAAGCTAAGCGTTAGAGCTGGAAAATCATCGATGTTTACCAACATCGATGTTTCGATGTTTTTCGGGAATAAACATCGATGTATCGATACATCGAATCTTTTGGTCTAATTTAAAAAAATGTTTTTAATCCATTATAAAAAGTTACGCTATATTTGAAATCAATTCTTTTTATTTTATAAATATTTAAACTTAAACTAAATTCAAGCAAAAGTAAAAAACAATCGAGTTTTACACAAAAAAAAAAAAAACACAAAAGAACAATTTTGTCGAAATCTACAATATTTGTATCGTATATTTTACTATTATTCTCTTAATTGATCAAAAATGCGTTCCTTGCGAAGTAGTGATGGATGAAGAGGAAACATCGAACATCGATGTTTGGAAACCTCGATGTTTCGATGTTTTGGAAAACATCGATGTATCGATACATCGCCGATGTTATTTCCAGCTCTACTAAGCGTGCCTGGCAGGTCAAGTTTAATATAAAAAGTTTTATTTCCTGGATAAAAGTCTTTATTTCTGAATAAAAAGGTCATACGTATTGTTAATAATGAGCTCTTTTCTAAACTGTACGGAACCCTGTGAGTTCTTATTCAAATTGATTTATTTTATTATATTAGAAGTGAGTAAGTGTGCGCCAACTGATCTGTGTATGAGTGCTCTGTCACGTGGTTTTTAAGAATCGTTATTTTGAAGGCTTTACAGCACTTGTGAAAGACGATTTTGATTTTGTCTTTTTGAAATTAACATTTTCATAAAAGCAATTATCTGCAGCACAAACAACTCTGACATCCTCAACAACTTGCAATTTGTTTGTGTTTTATTTGTATGGTATTAGAGTTAGTTTTACAAATCATAACTATTTATCTTAAGTTGCAGGCCTCTATTGAAAAAGGTATACCTTTAAGAGTCTATTAAATAATGCAAAACAGTTTTATGATTTGCTACTTTATTAATTATTTAAAATAGCTGTTTTAAAGCTGAGAAAAGTACGGTGCTGTTTGAAAGATTGCAATGTGACCGAAAAAGTTTATTATACCCGTCACTCGTAGAGAATATGGGTATATTGTATTTATGCAAAAGTCCGTCTGCCTGTCTGGATGAACGCTAAGAGCTAGGAAACTATATATAAAAGCTAGAGGATTGGCAGTAAACAAGCAGATTATAGGGGTTCCTATGCATATTCGTTTTTTCCACAAACAGTAAAAACTGATAACCTGGCTAGCGCCCACAGATGGCGCCGTCGCCGCGTGGTGGAAAAAAGCTGCCAGCTCTTAAAGAGCGCCGAATCAAATGGATTATTTTAACTACTTGTCCATTTTGGTCACTCTAACTCCCAATATGTTAATGCTAAATTATTTGGAATGGGGAGCCTGAAAAACATATAAGAAGGCATATTTTTAATAAATTGCTGTTCAGCTTAACTTCCTCTTCAAATCCTCCTTGATGTAGAACAAATTTAAAAACATTCAATTACATTTAAAATTTCTTAACAGTAAGACGGAAAGGTAACGCTTGCTAGAAAAAAATTCTTTAAAAAAATAGGTACAATTTAGTAGGTAGGCGAAAGTTGAAATATTTCCAATAAGCACCAATATTATTTATCGCTAAGAAAATGTTTTTATTTGAAAGTGTTTTTTGTTTGGCTATACCATTGTAGATTGTTTGGCAATAATTAATATTAGTTCCAAAAAAGTCGACAAACTTCGTTCTCGAAAATAGTTCAAAATATAAATTATTTACTATTATATTTTAAATAATAAAGCACTACAAATTGTTTACGTAAATAATATCTTTGTGTTGATGCTTATAAGCAGTCTATATATTAACTCATCACAGTTTCGGTGACTTTTGACGTAAATTATTCACACAATTGTACACTCTTTGTCTTTCGAATCAACATTCTTAAAAGCAGTACTAGCAGTGTTCCCGCCCTACATTTTTAAAAGCTTGTGTTGTAATTTAATACATTGTATATCAAATACAATTTGACTTAGTTTAACATTTAATTTACTTATAACCCTCTGCTGCATTTGAAGCCTTACTTTCAAAAAATAAATAACACTAGTTTACAGCAAAAAACAAGAGAGAACGCTATAGTCGGGTTGGTGTCCCGACTATCTAATACCCGTTACTCAGCTAAAGAGAGTGCGAGGGAGATGGATATATAAAGTTTTTTTGATTGCGTATAACTTTTTAATGATTGGTCCGATTTGAAAAATGTATTATACATTTCGATAGGAATAAATATATACAACAAAATTACAATTATACTTCTCGGAAATCTTTAGAGGTGTGGGCGCCAGACACATTTTAAAATCGTTAGTGGGCGATTGTGGGCGTTAGAGGGGCGTGGCGCTCGGGTAAAATAAACTTGCGCTGCGTAGGAGGCCAAAGAATATGTGTGGAAAATCTCAACTTTCTAGCTTTTGTAGTTTCCGGGATCTCAGCGTTCATACGGACGGACAGACGGACATGGCGATATCGACTCGGCTAGTGACCCTGATCAAGAATATATATACTTTATAGGGTCGGAAACGCTTCCTTCTCCCTGTTACATACTTTTGCACGAATACAATATATTATGGGTAATGGGTATTATGATTTCAGTCAGAAGTTTGCAACTCAGTGAAGGAAACTTTTCCGACCCCATAAAGTATATATATTCTTGATCAGCATCACTAGACGAGTCGATCTGACTATGTCCGCCTGTCTGTCCGTTTCTACGCATCTAGTCTCTCAGTTTTGAAGCTATCGGCTTAAAACTTTCCCAAAAGTCTTCTTTCTATTGCAGATAGTATATAAGTCGGAACCGGCCGAATCGGACAACTATATTGGTGTTTTTTGAAATATTAACTTCTATTCTTGGGAATGTTATTTTTTAAATATTTATGAATTTCGAATAAAATTTAGAAAAAATCGGGACACTATATCATATAGCTGTCATAGGAACGGTCGGAAAATTAAATGGAAAATAATAGAAAACAAGAAAGGAAGCTAGCTTCGGCCAGCCGAAGCTTATATACCCTTGCAGAATAATTATTAGGAATAATTAACAAATCGCAAAAATATTCAATTTTCTAATATTTCTCATTAATTTTCCGATCGTTCCTATGGCAGCTATATGATATAGTCGTCCGATTTTGATCAAATTAAAATTGAAATTCGGAAATATTTAAAAAGAGTCATATCCTAGAGTAGAAGATAATACAATAAAAACCAAAGAAGCCAGAATTTATTTCCTATTACTTTTCCATTAATTTTCCGATCGTTCCTATGGCAGCTATATGATATAGTAGTCCGATTTTTTAAATAATTAATTCGAAATTCAGAAATATTTAAAAAAAAACATCCCCAAAAGTAGAAGGTAATATTTCAAAAAACACCAAAGCTAGAATTTTTTAAAGTTTTTTTTTCCGATTGTTCCTATGGGAGCTATAAGATATAGTTGTCCGATCCGGTCGTCTCCGACATATATACTACCTGCAATAGAAAGAAGACTTTTGCGAAAGTTTCGACCCGATAGCTCAAAAACTGAGAGACTAGTTTGCGTAGAAACAGACAGACGGACAGACGGACGGACAGACGGATAGACGGACAGACGGACATGGCTAGATCGACTCGTCTTGTGATGCTGATCAAGAATATATATACTTTATGGGGTCGGAAACGTCTCCTTCACTGCGTTGCGAACTTCTGACTGAAATCATAATACCCTCTGCAAGGGTATAAAAAATTATTGCTTCGTTGGTTTTTATTGTATTCTCTTCTACTTTAGGATATGACTCTGTTTAAATATTTCCGAGTTTCGGTTTTAATTTTATCAAAATTGACCTACGATATCATATAGCTGCCATAGGAGCGATCGGAAAATTAATGAGAAATAATAAAAAATGGAATTGCAAGGGTATATAAGCTTCGGCTGGCCGAAGCTAGCTTCCTTTCTTGTTATTCTTATTTTTTTCAACTTTAAAGGTGTGCAAATGTCCCGAGCGACAATATGGAAGGGCCCATTTAAATTACAACGTTTGGGGTTTGATTATTGTTTCTTTTGTTATTGCGTATATTTTTCTTCACATTATTTACAATGCGTTATTTCTCAAACAACAAATATAACCAAAAAATCAATAACATTTTGTCTTTTATTTGTGTGAGTAATTTTCACAAAGCCGCTCTTGCGAAAAAAAGTCCAAACTTTTTTTTACTTTTTTCTTGTTGATTAACATCTTAAGATTATACAAATAAGTTTTAAGTCAATCAGAGCTGCTTTAGAAGTTAGACTAAAATAAGTATTAGTTAAATTGTCAAAAACAAAATATATTTTGATTTTGAACGGTTAAAAAAATAATATAGAATACAAATAAAACTTACCAGGGGCGTGTTTTTTTTCTATTCTTGAACGAAATGTAAAAGCAAAGTGGAATTCGGATACAGTGAGCACCGCCAAACGCCTTTTTTTAAGGATCTCTATGGGTGTTTAACAGGTTACATGTTAAACCCGCCCCTTGCGAAAAATTTTTTTTTAACTTAAATATTTTTCGTTGAACTTTGAAAGATTGAAAAAAATTCTTAAGCGAAATGTGAAAACAAAATGGAAATTCGATCATTTTTGGCGGAGTTACAATGCACAATGCAAAACACCTTTTGTAATAGAGTTGCAGCAATTGTTTTACCACCACCCCAAAACTTTAACACGATTGAATGAGCTGCATTAAACGTATTGATCTTTATGATAGGTAATTCAATTTTCTTTTATGTGACACTTATGGATTCTTAAGAACATTTCCTACATTAACAATTTTATTTTTTAATGCAAAAGTTTTATTTTACACAAAAAATAAAAACGTGAAACAATATTTTGTCATATAGAAGACAATTTAATTACCTTTTACATAAGGCGTCATAAAGCTGTATCGGATATTTTTAAATATTAAAGCAACAACGATTTTTTCACAGTGCACACTGGGCCAGCCGATCAGATTTTTGGCCAAAAATACGTTTTTCTTTTTTAAGACAATGACCAAATTGAGTTTGGGATCCTTTTTATAATACATTAAACTTATTTATGCCAAAGTTTCAAAGAATTCGGGCAAGTAGTTTTCTTTTACCATATTTTCAAAGTGAAAAATTCATAAAATATTGATAGAAATGAAAAAAAATTTAGAAGTCAAAGATGCTGATGTTGTTGTTCGACTTCTTTCCGAAACTTGCAGAAGGGATTATTTTCAACAAGTAAAAAATATAATATAGCTCGTATGTCTTACTTGTTTGCTAAAATAAATGTAATTGATAATTTTGACGCTTTTTTTCAGCAAATGAGTACTTTGCTTTTCGAGTGCCTTCGAGTGCCATCCCCAAATCAGTTCATTCCTTCAAAAAAAAATTCGTTGATCAATTTACTAAAAGCGTAGCCCACCGACTCGATGCGGTTTTGCCTTAGTTTTTGGTAATTTAAGTTTTAATTGAAGGCTTAACTCGAAGTCGAGCTATTTTGAAGAGCTTAGCTAAGAGAGCCCAAGAGTATGCCATACTTTATTTCTTCAGGTTTTGGTGAACATTTTGCGCTCAAAAATTTGATTTTAGTGTGACTAACATCTAAAATCTACTTTTTACGTACACTAATCGATTATGGTATTTTCCAAACCTATATCTACCTATTTAATCAGGACTATGCAAATAAAAATGTAGCATACTTTTGTGATGACTTCAGAATATGTCAAATTAACATTAAACATTTGATTATATAAAACTTAAAAGGTAACAAGAACAAAAAAATAGAAATTTTTTTAAATCGATTGTTTGATAAACGTTGATGTGGGAGCCTCCGAAAGTTGCACTTTTTAACGGTTCATAAATCTTAAATGACATAATATTTTTTAGTGATGTTAATTTTTTTTAGTTTGTTTTATCTCATACTTTATTGTTTTCGAAAAAGGAAGAAGTGCGTCTTCTAGTTATTTTTTTAAAAATAAAAAACCGAAAAGTACGTAAAATTTTCCGACTTTGGTCTGGATTATCTATATCATATAAAATACCAAGAAATTTTACTTTTAGTTCGTTGGAAAGTTCAATCTTTTAAGAAAAAAAAACCAAAAAACTGCATCCTTCTAACTGTGGTGGTTATGCCAGATGTTGCTGCTAGGGACGCTACCTGTTGTCTTGCAATTGTAATTTATTTATTTTGCCTGCCTAACTTTAGCCATTCTGTCTCTCTCTCTTGCAGTGGAAAAGTGCAAGCGACGCTGGCGTCAGCTGCGAAACGATTATACCCGTTGGTGCAACTCGGATGCCCTTCGCCGTCGAAATGGCCAGCGTCGATTGGCCTATCCGCTGGCCGATGAGCTGCGCTTTTTGGACCGCCACCTCAACCTGGCCGAGGACGTTGTGATGGACGACGAACGCAGCATATCGTCGGACAAGGACAGAGATAGGGATAGCAACCGCGATAGCAACAGCAGGGATCACCTCCAGCAGCAGCCTCAGATATCCTCAAAAGAACGCGCTGCCCCGGCAAGCAAGGCAGTCAAGGAGGCAAGGCCTATCCGTCAGGTTCGAGAAGAGAAATCTCCCATAGAAGAGGAGGAAACTTTGGAAAATCAAGAGGACGAGGCGCAAGCTGAAGAGGGACTAGATGAGCCGGAAGATCACGAGGAACCAGAGAAAGTTCCCGAACTGGACAGTTTTCTGCAGTCGGACAATGAAGGCGACGAGTGCGTGGACGAAGAGCACCTAGAGGAGCTGGAAGGATTCGATTTCGACTTAGAGCCGTCGATCCAGGAAAGGGATGCGTCGCCCGAGAAGTCCCTCGAAACGGATAACGCTGACTCCCCAGCCAGCCAGTCAGAGTTCTTTATCAAACAAAGTAACGATCCGCATTTGCTGATTATTGGCAAGAAGAACTCGGCCGCTTCAGTTGGTGATCCCGAGGGCGAAGACTCCAATTCCGGGGATCCCCTGGAGGGAGCCATGGAGGATAGTGGCGATGAGTACGCCGGCTATGAGGAGAAGAGAGGCGCGGGGGGCGACAACACCATTTCTCCCCGACGCCGTCGAATGCGCGCAGCTCGCGCTTCCATAAGTTCCGCTGGCATCAAGGAGTTGCCGATTCAAAAGCCTGCCCAAGGACAGCGAATCACTCGCTTGCAGCGCAGGAAATCGATGAGTGTGGCTGCTGTGCACAGTGTGAGGAGTGCCACATCGCCGGTGAAGATGACTCCAGTGCCCAGATCCCAGCCGTACAACAAGCCATCCTCTGGCCAAGTGCAGGTCAAGAAAGTGAGCCCGCGTGATGACATCTTTCCACGACCTACGGCGTCCGCCGGAAGCCAGAATCAAATGCAATCTAAGACCAAACAGCAGCCGAAATCGCTGATCTTTCCAAAGAGGGATGCCATGATCGCCATTCCACAGGTACCCGCTCCACCGCAAAGGAGATCAGCGGGCCGGCCGCCCAAGAAGCTTCAATTGATCCAGCGTGCGGTGGGTCCGCAGCCCAGACCTCAGTCGCCCGCTACCGCCAAAGTGATGAATATTGCCAGGCCCAGCGGCTCCCCAGTAAACGGTAGCAGCTCCAGCACCAATAAGAGCAGCACCGTTAGCAGCTCAAGCGGCAGCAACGCTGCCACCATGACCAAAGTGACCACCTCCAGCAGCAGCCTCAAGACCCCTGAGAACATCACCATGATGAGCTACAGTCCCAGCTCACCTAGCACTACCAGTTGTAGTGAGAAGACTGCTGGTAGTCCCAGTGCCTCTGCGACGGTGGTAACTGCCGTACCCACAACAAGCGCAGCTGCAGGATCGTCTGTTTCCACGGTGCCGCCGTATATAACCGTCTTCAAACGCGCCGACCGGGGCATTCAAACCGACAGCCCCAGCGTCTTTTCCGATGAGCACTTCCTCGAAATGATCAAGCCCCAAATGCGTGAGATGAACTCCCGCCAAAAGATGCACTTTAAGAAGAAAGTATTCCAGGCGCTGATGGAGACATTTGATGATGCCACCGACTTTCCGACGGCCGGCGAATTGCAGCACTTTAATATCAACACTCCCTCAGGATTTGAGCACGTTTCGGATCCGGAACTGCGGCTGGTCAGGGAGCTAGTTAGCATGGTGAGCGCGGCCAAGGTGACTGTCATTAGACCGCCAGTGGATAGTGCACCTGCCCGCAGCCCAGTTGTGCCGGATGCGCTGCGTGGACCGCGGACAAACGTACCGCGCCATGTGATCCAGAGAGTCTACAAGCCAGGCACTGGACTCGAAATCGCCTCGAACAGCACAACCGGTCCGGGACAGGAGAAGAAGCTATACAGGATCCTGCAGATGAGTGGCAAACCGAACGGCAATCTAAGTGCCTCGCTGGAAAATCTGCGTAAGGAGAGCGTGGACAGTAACCACAGTACGGTTAGAGTGGCCAACAACACCTCGATGGTCAGTCCCAAGGGAGCTACTATAGTGGCTGCAGTGAGACCACAGGGATCTTCGATCAACACTTTCTTTGGACCCACCAATGGAGTGCAGCCTGTGAAGACCGGGCAGCCGCTAAAGGTGCGAGCCATGTCCCGGCGGTATTCCGTTTGCGGCAGCAGCAATCCACCCAACGCCCAAGCCACTGGCCAAAGTCCTGCTAATGGCAGTTCCTTGAACTCGAACCTAAGTCCCATGGAGGCGGCTATGCTGAAGCGGCGACTATTGGCCCCTGCCCAGGGAATGGTGCCACCTTCTCAGCGACCTCGCTACTCCGCCGTAGCTGCTAACCAAGTTACCGCCGTGGGCCACGGCAATAGTTTGCTAGTGAGGAAGTCCATGGGCAGTGTTCCCGGTAACCAGAAGCAAATCTCACCCACCGCCAGAGCTTCGACGCCTCAGAAGACTCCGCAGATTGCCAGTGTCCAAGGATCGGCCTTTAATGATTTTGTCCAACCCAAGGCCGCTGCAGCTCCCTCTGCGTCAGGCGATGCAAGCTCGCCATCCTCCGCACTGAAGCGCAGCTTGGTCGTGGCCAATGCGAAGACCTCCTTCCAGGACCTTCTTCAGCAGCCAAGTCAGCCGGTGCAGAGGAAAAAGAAAGAAGCCTCGGAGACAGCAGCCACCATTGCAGCGGATGATTTCTCACTTGCCAGCCTGAAGCGAGAGCCAGTGGATCACATGGATGATCAAGACGACATACTCGGCATGTAAGGATAAGCCAAGGAAATCCCCGACGATCGGAAAAATATATGGAGAATCTTAAAGATTTAGCGCAGATAAAAAACTTGATCGACACACAAATTGAATAATTGTTAAGATAAACTAAAACACCTATAATGTTGCCTAAAACATTTTTTTTACAATTCCCTCTAAATTTAAGAATTATGTTCCCATTTCTGATTTTGTTGCAGCATAAAGTAATCCTGACTACTGCGAATTTTTGTTTATAATTTTAAATGGGAATATAATAAAAAGTTTTCAAGGCGTTCTGTTTTACAATTTATACGAAACAAAATATACAAAATTATGGAAATATTTCTATTGTAGCCATACACTTGTTTTTAAGAGAATACGAATCTAAATTTCATTTCACCATTTGTAGTTATATATGTATAATCAATAAATATTGCCTTTTCAAATTCAAAGAAAAGTTTCACCTATCAAAATACATTATTCGGGTTTGGGATTGAATTCTTTTTAATAAGTGCTTACCAAACATATTTATCTTCATACATTCATACATTGGCCTGTAAAATGTAGGTTGCAAAGCGATTTCTGGAACACTATTAAAAAAAGGCGTTTTGCGGTGCTATTACATTTCGCTTAAAAATTAAAAAAAAAAACCCGCCCCTTGAAAGTTTTATTTTTTATCTTTAAATATTTTTTTAACTCTACAAAAATCTAAAATTATTTTTTTGTAGAATAATTGTTTTGTTACAAATATTAGTCTAACTACAAAAGTTTTTGTCCAATTGACCTACAATTTTTTTGTTAATCTACAAGAACAAATTTTTTAAAAAAATAGAATTTTTATTTTTGGCAATACCCTACTCTTCCCTTAAGGGATCTATCGAGGTAAATAAGTAAAAGTTCCTACTGGTAACACAGTGAAATCAAAGAATATAGTATTGATAGAAATACTTTGCGGTAGGTTTAACTGACTCATTAATATCGAAGTGGACTGATTCTAAAATACTCCTACTGGTGCAATCACCGCAACAAGGTTAAATACGTGGACTTGCCTTCTAAGCTACACGTCATCAATAGCGAAAGATTAGATATAATAGTCGACATTGCTTGCTTAAACTAACTTAACTTATGGATGTGAAAATATTATATGACATATTTAAATATTTGTTTTTTAATATTTCAAATGTTTTGAATTTATCTTATCTAAAGCCCTATTGTTTTTAAAGGGTGTCAAGTCCTGTACAGAAAGATTTAACAAATTTGAAAAACAATAGGGCTTTAACTGTAATCTGTAAAGGGCGACGCCACTTCTTCTGCGTGGTCACGTTATTGGATTTCAATACTTCCCGTTTTGGGTGAACCACCGGTTAAGATTTACAAGGTATGGTTCAATCTACTGTTTTTTTCGCACGCTTTGTATTTGAAATCTAATCTGGAGAGGTCTGCCTCGATCGGCGGCCGTAAATAAGGGAGTCAGTGCCCAGATAAGGCCGCTATATAAAACCTCTCCTGAAGTGCTCGCGTAGCTCAGTCCAATTTCAGACAATTACCATGAAACACTTTGCCGTTTGCGCCCTTCTAATACTGCCGCTGGTCAGCGGTGGATTCTTGCCACCCACACCCACCAGGCACTTTGTGGCGTACGAGATCCAGTCCACCAACAACTTGCCCCAGATGGAAGGTAAGAGTCAGTAGGAATATTCCGGGAAATACAGAGAACTTGTACTAACAATCGGTAAGAATACTATTTTGTAGCGCGGATGAGTAATTTTTTTTATAACTAAAATAAAGTAGTTTAATAATAAATATAATTATACAAATATTTATAACAATTTACATAAAAATAAAGGCATATTTTTGACCCCATTTAGTCATCGTCAAGAAGATGCAGGCAATGCTCCAGAACATGATTCCGGACATGTCCGTCCTGGCCGATGCTGTCGCCGTGCCCGACATGTCCGTCCAGTCTGACGCCGGAGTGCTGCCCGATATGTCGGTGGCCACTGATGCCGATGAGACCCCCAGGAGGCGTTCCGCCCAGTTCAAGGTTGCCCCGATCGCCGCCAAGGTTGCCGCTCCCATGTTGGCCCAGGTCCCCGATATGTCCGTCCAGGCTGACGCCGGCTTGATTCCCGACATTTCCGTGGCCACCGATGCTGACGAAACTCCCAAGCGCGCCTCCTTTGGCTTCAAGAAGCCTCTTTTGGACAGGATTGCCGGTGCCATTGCTAGCGTCGATGCCGATCTCATTCCCGATATCTCCGTTGCCTCCGATGCTGATGAGACGCCCAGGAAAGCTATTGCCGGTCTTAAGACCCTGCCAAAGATGATCAAAGTCTCCGGAGGCGAGCCAGTGGAGATCATGACCCACGCCGATGCCGATCTTATTCCCGATATGTCCGTTGCCTCTGATGCCGATGTGACCCCCAAGAAGGCTGTTGCCGGTCTCAAGACCCTGCCTCAGTTGACCAAGGTCTCCGGAGCCGAGCCCGTTGTCCTTAAGGCTTTTGCTGGCCTCAAGACCCTGCCCCAGTTCACCAAGGTCTCTGGAGCCGAGCCCGTTGAGCTCAAAGCCCAAGCTGATGCCGATCTGATTCCCGATGCTTCCGTGGCTACCGATGGTGAGGATAAGGGTGAGTAGCTTTCTCAGTAATGAGCTCTTTTTCGGAATAAAAGGCTTAAAAATAAATTTAGAAATGTATCATAGTTATTTATTAATATTAATATATTTTCTTATAGCTGGCAACCAGCTGCCCGATATTTCCGTCGCTGACGATGCCAAATTCGATCCCAAGATGACTCTGGCCGCCCTTTTGGCCAAGCTCCATTAATTGATTTCGGAATTCGTCAACTCACCCTGATTAAATCAGAAATCATCAATATCTAAATGGTTGTTTGCTTTTGTATTTATAAGTTTTTGTATGATTGCCAATAATCAATTTTTGAGAAAACCGTATGACAGCTGGTTGTGTTTTTGTTTTCATTTGTTATCAGCCATTGATTGAAGCAATATGATTGGTTTGATTTAATATGAGTTTCCTATCGCACAATTTGTTGTCTTTGCCAGGTATATATATCATCATTATTAAGAAAAAGGTGGGACGTCATCTATTTATCTCATGAGGTTACTAAAAATTATATTATTAGATTAGTAGGTAATACCTACTAGGTATAACTCTTTGTAAAGATCTCATTAAATGTCAACAGAATTCTTGTCTTCTGTGTTCGTATAGGGGGGTAATCTATTTAACTGAAGAAAATTTATGTATATAGATGGCGCAACTTGACCTCAGCCATCTTCGCAACGACGGACAGTTCCCAAACTGGAGATACAAAGAGACCGGACTTAATCCAAGTTCAGGCTTTGCATGTTGCCCAAGGAAAGCTGATTAGTTTTGGCCCTGGACTAACCTCGCAACTAACAAATAAAATTAGTTTTTTTTTGTTGGTCGGGATAGCTGAGAGACGGAGGTGTATTGTATCGCTAGCTATTTATAAAAAGGAATTAACGGCAAAAACCGGACCCACACACAAAAGTGGCCGAATGTGATCCCAATGTGGCACATGGCCATAAACAACGCGGGGGTGCAGAGGTCGTTCGGAGCGGGGAGTTGGCGTCAGTGATGCCGAATTGGACTCCTTATGGATCAGGATAAATAAAATAAAAAACAATTAATGGGTATATTTGATAAGTGGTAAATAATATATATTCTATTTATAGGGAATGGGAAATACCTGTTATTCAAATGCCTCACATTAATTTAAATTTTATTTTTGTTAAAGAACTCCTTACTCCAAATAAGTTGTTGCCATCACTGCTCTGTGTGGCTGGGGTTGTTGCGATTTTGTTCCTGCTGCCGTTGTGATTTTCATACAAAAGCGCTAAAGCGGCTACTAAATTACGTGCTCATGTGTTCTAGTTCGAGTCAACTCCCCCTTTGGCCGCCCCCTCAACCGAACCGCCCACTCCGCCGACCCCTTTCCATTGCCAGCAAATCGCATTTGGAGCCGCTAATGAACCGCAGTGGTCCCGACCAGGAGGCGGCCGTCGGTGATGCTGGTGGTTCGGGTACTTGTGCATATATATCGGCGGTGCTGCAGTCCCGACATCGTACGGGTTCTGTTTCTGGTTTTTGTTTTCGGTTTTTTCGCAGCTTCGCTTTTACCTTTTGCCGCATTTTCAAACGGGACAAGTTAGTGGAACGACTGTTAAATATCCCGCAAAGCGCCATAAAAGCAGCCAGATATAGGTAATAAAATAATTTCAACAACCGTTTAACCATTTTCGATAGATAACAACTTATAGATGTTTATGGGTTTTATTTCAAGGCAACTGTGTTCTTCGAAAGTAAAACATGAAATTGTAATTAATTATTCTAGGAATTCTGAGGATCTGCCATGGCTGTCATGCATATTCATTTCAAAATAATTAAAATTAAAAATTTAAAAATTTTAAGCTGATCTAAGAAGAAGAAAAGCGCGGAAATCTTTAATCTCAAATTTGCATAATGACGGTATACCCTTGTAATCCTCAAGTACCGGGTGTAAAAATTCCGTTTAAAAGTGTAACAACGCTGTTAACTATTGTGGGCAGGCCGATGGATTGAATTGCATGGCATGGGGGCAAAGAGGGAGGAAATAAAAAGGGGGATCGGCAACAATTGGTGCTTGATTAAGGTGAGTTACCTATGCCTGCGTGAGGAGAGTTGAAAGGGCGCCGCCGAAAATTTCAATAAACTCTCAACACCGAACCGCCATGATAAATTTTATTATTGGTATGCCCTCGCAGTTAAACTATTCATATAACTAAGTTTGGGATATTAATTTCCTGCAGGGAAAGCTACCAGTTTGCCAGCAGAAAAATAAAAACAAATCAATTTTAACTTTGTGCTATTTTCTAGGCTTAAAGTTTAGAATATATTGTGGCTTTTGCCCTACAAAATGTCTCAGTTAACAGGTCTTGGATCGCAATCCTAAACTATAACTTCTTTTCATTTACTTTGCGCTGCTGTTGCTGCCAGGACCAAAGTTTTCTCCATTGCGCTGTGGCTTTGCAGCTGTCGCATTTGATGTGACCCTTCCACCCATCCAGAACATCCCTCCACCCAAAACCCCCTCGGGTGGTCTTCGGCTGCACTTATTACAAAACTTTTACTTCTTCCCGTTTTGCATTTTCATTTATTTCGCCGCCTTTCATTCACTTTCGGCTTTGTTGCTGCTGCTTAAGCATATCACTTCACTCTCGAAGAAATTTCATTTCGCTTCCTTCCGCTGTTTCATCCACTCCAGCACTGAAAACAAATAAATATAGAAATTGCGTTGTGTTTTTTTTTATTTCCTAAAGTTTCTTTTACTAATGTTTTCTGACCGAATGAACGATGTCTTGTGTTTCGATGCAATGATTTCTAACCAATATATTAAATGAATGCCAATCAATTAATGTTCCATTACAGATTTAACGTAAACATGTACTTTGTACATAGGCGTATGCGTAATTTATTGCCCTTTTTTCAATCATTATAATCTTTTTCTCAAAATTTAATTTAACTGAATCCAAGTCTAATATTCTAATATTGATGTTCTAATAATTATTATTCTAATAATTAATAATGTTATTAATGCATTTATATTCAATTTCTTTTTGTGTACCGTGTTCCTTGTTTTTTTCAACAGAAAGTTTTCGCTGACTTTGGCCTTTTGATTTCCATACTGCATTTTGCAGTTGAATTTTGTTCTTTTTTGGGGACCTAAACTTTTGCTTTCAGCCGGACATGAGCTAAAATATATATTTCTACTATATATTTGAGACCCCGTCGTCAATATACAAATATTCGAAATTGACTTAAAGTTGGAGACCAGCTGTAAAATGAAACTTGAAAATAATTTTAATCAGTTTTCAGGCAATTTCCTGTGGCCTGTTTTGACTCCAAACTTTTTTAATATAAAGATCGTTTTTTCTGAGTAAGAATTACTTGACGATATTGGTATTTTGGACTGAAGAGATTCTCCTCAGGGGAGAACCATGAAAGGGGTCAGTTCGTTGGCTAACCTTTTGCTAATGACTTCCTTGTCGTCGCTGTGGCCTCCTCAATAAGATAAGCCCAAAGTGCAACAGCAACAGCAAACACAACTGGCAACCAGCAACATCACCAACTAGCAACTTGCAACAACAGCAAAGACTTCAGCAACTTCAAGAATGTTTAGCGAACACGCGATGACAACAAAACCACTTCAAACAGGAACGACAAAGTAAGAAAATCGAATTTTATTTACCCTTGCTGTTATAACCAAAATAATTTGAGAGAATACGATTTTAATTGATTTTACGAGATATTATAAAAAGATGTTAAAAGAATTGAAAATCATTTACTTTAAGAGTAAATTACCAAAATTGAATTAGTTAGTCTTATTTAGTTAGTTAATCTTATTTAGTACGAAAGTATAAAAATATGTAGGTTTGATTTATAAAATGGTAATGGGCTCTGTAAAGGTATATAAAAGGGAGTACTTGAAAACTTTCATGCGCAAGCGAGAAAGCAACAAACACGACAGGCGTTTCAGCCGAAAGCCAACAGATGGCGCCATCTAAACTGTTTGTAAAATAAATAAGATTCACTTGCTAAGAAAACAAGAAATAATTCGCCGCAGGTAATGTCAAAACAGTAAAATTCTCTTTTCGAAAAAGACAAATAAAATTGTCAGCTTGGAGAGCTCGTAAAAGTTTGGACATATCTCAGCAGGGGGAGTTTTACTTTTAAAGAGTTAGTTAGTCGCTGATTTTTTATTTATATGAAGCGATTAATATTATTTAAAATCTTTATAAAGGCAGTAAGAGATTGTCATTTTCTTACAACTTACAACTTTTCCACATTTTCCCACACACTTGAATATTATGCCACAACGGCCAATTTAGTGATTAAAGTTGAGCACTTTCGCCTCGTTAAACGTAGCTCGTGCACGTGAGCAACTACATACATCCCCAAATAAGCTGTTGCAATAACCACTGTAATCATGGTTGCAACATGCCACTGCCACCATATCGCTGTCTTGACCTTTCCAAACCAAATAGGCAGGCACTCAATTAATTTGAATAATAGTCGAAGAAATCATTTTTATTTTCGCTTATTTTTTTTCTTGAATAAATCATATCAGATTTGCAAAATAAATAAAAATCACACGAAAACTGACAGATCCCATCGTTAAACATAACTTATTTTCCCATAGCGAATATTTTTTTTGCAGTTTATGTAACTTATTTTTTGAATTTTTATTACCTCGCCAATTTTGTGCTCGTGACCTGCGGACGATTCATCTTCCAGTGGTTGCATTTCAGTCTTATTTTTTGGTAAAAATAAATTTAATTAGCCAACGATTTTATGGAGTTGTGGGTAGATGTGAAGGAGAGGTTTTCGGTTGCTGCAGTTGCAACTTTGACATTTTGCCGCATTAGCAAAAGATTGCCGCAGTACGTGATGTCGGCTACCCCCTCTTTTTTCCAGACATCCTCATCTTTTTGGCCCTGGTATTTTTGTTTCATCGTTTCTTTTTCGGTTGGCATTTCGGTTTTGGGTTATTCAGTATTTTTTAGCCCTGCCGGTAATAAATATTTTATTAGACGCGGTGTGAAAGGTGTGCAAAATTTACACCGGTGCCAGCTGAGTTTAGGGCCTGCATGAGTGGTCTTTTTCCTGGCTGAGTCATTTGCGGGGATTTGCATTTTTGGCCATAAAAAACGCGAGTTGGCAGCTCTTTCTGGCATCCTGTTTATGGTTAAGAGAGGGACGGAGGAGCGTTGGGGGTGTGGATTTTAAAGCCCCAATTTGTTTTCCCTCTTTATTTATATTTATTGTGGCGTAATTTTTTTATGTCCCTGCCTGGCATTGTTGAAAGTTTTATGAGAAGTGAGAAGCGAAAAGGATCAGTAGGTTGCAGCTTTCGCTTATTATGGAACTCATG